AATACTGTACATATGAGAAATGTTGTTTCTTTTTAAATGTATATTCTGCAATATATGAATAAATAAAAAAATAGTATTTATCTACTTAAATTAAATATACTGTATATATAGTACATATATAATAAAAGTGAATTGTAATAATTTCAATAGTATATTCTCAGATTTAATTTATTGAGTTTATTAATCAATAACCTAGGCCTTATTGATTTCTTAATATTCCGCTTTAATGAATAAAAATCAGCAACAATAATCTATTTTTTAATTTCAAAATGTACCTTAAATTAATGCTTTTACTAAAATATCAGGCAATAATGACTTGATTTTAACGAAGTGTAAAAGATCACTTGTGTTAAGGTTATTTAAAAAATATCTTGAAAATAAATCAGATCAAATATTAAAAAGCATTCATTGTTTTCTTTATAGGAATTTTGTAACTGACTTTTTTATTGTCAGACTGCGGTTTTGTACGACGCTTGTATTTATAAAAGGAACTTGTATGCGCATGATTTCTTTGCTTAAGAATTATAACAAACGATATGGGTAAAAATAAAAATTCAGGTGGTGGTGCCAATAAAGGAAAAACGACGAACAAAAAACCTGCGGATAATGGTTTGTTTAACATTGAATCCGTGTTCTTGGGTATGCATCGCGTGAAACTGATAATTAAATGACTCATTAAAATTTTGATAAGAGGGAGAATCAAGTTCAGGAAAGACGGGAAAATTGAAGGCAGCAAATAGTGTTAAGGTAAATAAATCCGTAACAATTTTTTCTTAAAGAGGAATCTCTTGAGGCACTTGGAAATTTAATTATTTTCTTTAGGTTAGACATATTTTATGTGAAAAACATTCAAAGGTAATCGAGAGTAACTGCACAGATCTTGTCCTTTTTTAAAGACAAATTGGCATCCTTTAATTTAAAATATTACATAGGCTATGGAAGCGCTGAATAAATTGACAGTGGACAGAATAAGATTTGATAAGGCAAGACTACATGATTTTTGTAAAAATTCGCGCGATACATCCGAAAATTTTAATTCTACAAAGCAGGTTGCGGAAGATTATAGCGAAGATAAAGCGAAGCAAGGAGGTAATGTAAAAAGATTCATGTTCAATGTTTTACACGCTTGTTTATTCTTTTGTCATTACTAATAGGAAGTTTGGGATGGATGGTTCGAGGATCAATGGTCGGTGCGTTCCAAGAAGCAGCTTTTGCACTACAACCAAGTACCTTAGGTGGTTACTATTTCTTTACTTTGTGTACTAGCACTACCGGATATGTGATTAACTTTTTGTAATGTTTCTTTTTAGATAACCCAATAGTTACTAATCCGCCGGTATGTTTTCGGATTTATAAATATTGCATATTATAAATCTTTTATTCATGAATACTTATATTTGAGTTATATCTCCAGATAAAAACGCAGTTTGGTTATCATATCATCATGGTGGTATGTTGTACTAGTTTTTTATCTATTTAATTTGGTGCTTCTTGGTTGATTTTTATTTTTCCATTTACAGGAGGATCGGAAATAGCATTCTGTCAAGCCTAGACTTAGATATGATTTTTATTTGTCCCAAAACATATTATTGTAATAATAAAATATCTAACAAAATGTTAGAAATATCAAATTAATAAGATTTGCTGTATAGTCTTATTTATTCGAATTAGTATAATATATTAATTTATAACACTGACTCAGTTTTGCTTTATTAGATTTGAAACCTATTTATGTAACAGATACATAATAAAAGAATTTCTTTTACTGAGAGTATTTGATTTATTATACATTAATGAAATTTATATAAACCATTTTTTATCTTGAATATTTTTAAATAATTTATTTTTAATTTTATTAATATAATATTATTTGTATATGAAATATTAAGACAGTAATAATAATATAGTTTTTTTATTTAGCATACTCAACTTTTCTGCTAATTTTTTTTTTTTTTTTGTAGGTATACATTATTTCTTTATTTATTTATATAATGATAGATATACATTGCAAAAGAAACAACATTTCTCAT